ACAGAAATAAACCAATTTTTAAATTATATATTATAAGACAAGTATACATATTGTAATTACTATTATTTATTACAGTATAGCTGTTATTACTATGTTAAATTTTTTATAATAACAAAAATTTTAACTAATCCAAACACAAAAATAGAATTTTATTTACATTTGGTATTAGCAAATAAATATTAAATATCTCTAGTCTATAACTATAATATTTTGATTTTTGAGTTTCGAATAAAGGCTCTTATTAATAATCACTTAACAACTACCTAAAAGACACTTAAAATAATTAGTAATAATCTATAATAATACAATTCATAGCTTTAGTATTTAAAAAATATTAAAGTATTAAAAAATAAAATTAGTATTAAAAAAAAATAACAGATACAAAGCTGTTTAATATCATAGCAAGAACTACTTTCATTTAAATAAGCAACCTCCATATTATATCATGAAACTAATTAGTACAAGATTTTTAAACCTAATAGTACAAACTATTAGTTATAAGTTCAAATTCATAAAAACACATTGCTAACAAACAATTTATATAAAAGAAAAATAATAAAACAAAAAAAAAGATTCAAATAATTAGAAAATATAGATTTGGTCTTTTTTCGAGTCTCAACTATTTCTATATAAAAGGTTGATTTTGCTAGGATCTCCTATAATCACAAAACTATAAAGTCTACTTTTTGTTTATCTAGCTATTAATCAAAGATAATGCCATGAAGACTATAAAAAGACATTTAAATTTTGCTAAAAGTGTAATTATGGACCAATCAAATTTTAGCAGAATGAACTAGAATCGATTTCTATTTTTGGGGTCATCTAAAGCGGAGTCAAATTCATGTGATTACAGGCCAATCATATTATAGAATTTTGATGATTATTGGTGAAGCAACACAAGAAACAAAAACGAAAAACCTAAAAAATACAAAAAATAGCAGTTTAAACCTGCCTTGGGTAAATTAAGCAAAAATGTCAGGAAGGCTATTTTGCTTATATATCAGTATATAACTACCTAAAACCTAATCTAACCCTAATATAATGTGACCCTTACCCTAAAGTTAATCAAAAAAATTATTAAATATAGTTTATGTGAATTTGATTCCGCTTTAGACGTCTCCTATTTTTGGTAATATGCCTAACTGTAGTATCTTCACTAGTATTGTTCATATCGTCGCTAGTGTTGTTGCGTCATTACTAGTATCTTTAATATCATCGTTGATGTTATTTGATGTTGATCCTGGTGTTGTTTTTAGTATTTCTGTTAGTTTCATTAGATCATAATACTGTTTATTTAACGCTTTTTTGTTTTTTACTTTGTTGCTTGATCCGTGCTATTGAGTTGTGTTATTAAATTTTTTTTAGATTAATAGTTTGTGGTTTTCTTATCCATTGTTGTACAATCTTCAACTTCAACTTCTTGCTGCTAGCAGATTTGTGGTTGCGTAATTCTATAGCTTTCCCAGTTGGCATCATATTTTGGTAATGAATTCATTAATGTTATGTTTTTATATGATTTCATTGTGTATAATACTGTGCTGGTAATGCTGTTTTAGATTTTATTTTGTTTTTGTAGTATTTTTTGAGAAACCATATATTTTGTTCTTGTAATGTATATAGAATCTAGTATTTTAGGGTTAAAGTGTGATTTATAGTAGTATTTAGGTTTGTAATAGTGTTAAATAGTGTGAATAATTGCTTTAGAATATAGTTGACCATAATACTATCTAAATTGATTGTTTTAACCCACTTTCTATCTATAATTAAACATGTAGATATTATAAGATTCTACATACTTAATTATAGATTCAAAACAAATTTTAAAGGACTATTTTTATAAGAACTTATTTTGCAATAATTTTTAAGTGAAGATAATTATCAATTCTGATTAGCTAATTTGGGGGTAAAACTAAATCAGTGATATGTAAAATCATATGTGTAAAACTAGATAAACGAATGTATGTCACCACTACGCTCAACAACAGGTTGAAAAATGGTTTATTATTTCGATGTATTGATTGATCCCCTATAACATAATGTGAATGCATTATATTTTTTATCATCATTTATTATCAGTTCATCACTTTCAATTTCTATAGCATTAAGACCTAAACTTAATGCATTGTTTAAATTCACTTGAGATTCAGCATATTCTTTTCGCAATTCATAAATATCCCTTTTAACTACAAACAAATGAAGCATATTCATATCTCCGGAAAAACTTCAATAGCTTTGAGTTTTAGCATTATAAGATATTTTAGAGAAACTTTGTATACGACGAAATGTATTACTTTTAGAGTGGCTTACTTATACTGCATGGAATTTGTTTTTTATAATTGTCAGATTAGTTTTATTATTCTATCTTGGAAAAGAAACTGATTACGTTCTGTTATTCGATCTTACCTAACAAATTCTGCAGTCATGTGATTGCCAATAAAATCCTTTAAAGCTTATTTAGGGTCCATTTTAGAGTTAGAGTTTAGTGGCTTTAATAGTAAAATCGCCCAAGAAAAACCTTTTGTTAATGCACAAAGGTGGTTACCTATGAGCTATAGGCGATGTTTGACAAAGCGAACGTTTGTTTTGATCATGCAACATTACACCTGATCTTGAAAACTGATATGTTTGAAATTACTATCCTAGGTAGTTCTGTTATTCGATAGATTTACAATATAATTTTTAAAATAATAATAAAGTAAAAAAAAAATTATATATAAAACTATAGCACTATAAAATAAATCCCATACTTTTTAATATAAAATAAATAGCCAATCAAAACGAACTTCCATTATAACAACTAACTTCCGACTCTAAGTAAACACGAAATTTAATCGGGTGACATAATTTTTGATGTTAGATATGCTGAGATGCGATCAACTTAGTTTGTTAGGCCGGTAAAACAGAAAGGACTGTTAATAATAATTGAGTGTCGATAAAAGAAAACATACACATTTAAATGTATATGTTGTAAGTGAGAATAAAAACGGGGGATTTTATATATAAATTCTGAATCCACTTAAATTCCGTTTCCACTTACAACATATATACTTTCTTTTGCCGACACTCGTTCCTATATTAGATAATTCATCTTTTCTAACATATGTAGATTTTGCTAGTGCAACGCACTTCCTGCTCAGCTCAACGCTCGCAAGAGTAAGAGCTTATAGACTATGTAAATACTTTATGTAAAAGCGTTATTTAACAGTGTTAATGTGTTACTAAATGTCGGTGATGATATTACAATCAGTTATAATTCCGATCATTCTAAACTAGTGACTGGCGAATCATTCGAATAATATTTTTCGAGTTTTATTCGAGTTATTCGAGTCACAAAAATTAATTTATTGAAAGTTTTGTAAATTGTGAGTTACAAAAACAAATATGCTTCGAATAAAGAGTTATGCAAAGCAAATATAATTCAAAGTACATGTTATTATCACAGATTATAAGTTATAGCATATTAATTTTCCTCCTGTTTATTATTGCTTTAGTTTGCGTCATATTTGTATAGATGGAAATGTCTTAAAAGTATAGATGCAGACTTATGACGCCATCTAGTTACGTCCTACATAAAAAAATCGGTTTATAAAATAAAATGCAATAGAGCCGTAACTAGTGACGTAAATAAGTCTGCATCTACACTTAAAAGTTATTGAAAACTTTAAATATAGCAATTATAAAGTTTATTTAAATTTCAGTGAACAACATATAGACGTAGTTCAGTAGTTACGTTAAAATTACATATGTACGTACATATTTATTAATTATTTTAACATCATACGTGCACTAACGTAGCACGTAATTATACACTCGCGAGTAACTCGCGAGTTAAATTTTCATGATTCGAAGAATGATAAATTCGAATTATTCGAGTCACAAGTTGACGAGTTCAGTCATTACTCTAAACAAATCCCGATAATAATGTGTTAAATAAATATGTAAAATACAGATTTCGCTATTATATAAACTATTAAATCTCATAAAGTATAGACGCCATTATTTTTTGTAAAAAAAAAGGGGTTTGAAAGTTTTGGGTTCGGCGAGTAATACGAAACTAGAATTAACTTGGTGGAGCCTATCATACAGGATTTTTTTTTTAATTTTCATATCATTTATTTCAAAATAACGTCCATGGCGTACTCGAAATAATGCGCAGATGCCCGTTATTTCGAGAATTTACAAAGTAAATAGATCAAATTTGTGAAAAATATGAGCATATCTGGCGTGGGCTAAATTGACAAGTAGTAACTACAGTAAAATAAGAAGACAATTCGCCATAGGCGTGGCAACAATATTTATAATTAAAAGTTTCAAGTGATAAGGATTTTAATATTTTAATATAACCGATTTATTAAGGGTTTTAAGGGTTTATTAATATTTAATATTGATAGATTTATTATTAACCGCGAGATTCTTATTCTTGTCAAGCAACTCTTTTATATCTTTCACATCATCGTGAAATGGAAGAGGCTTTAATCTATTATTTTCATAGCCCAACTCTTAAACTTAGTAGATTATCCTTAATGGATAGGATTTCCTCGATCTTATCCTAATATTCAAGCTCATCATCCGCAAGACATTCTCCGCGAATGCACTTTGATTCGCGTTTGTATCACTAAGCCTTATCTGCGATGATCGAAGTTTTCAAAATGTTGATCGTTCAAAGCCACGATCCTATGACCGCGAAATATTACTATCTGCTATGCTTAATTTAGAAAATCTAACTTTTAGCCCATGACACCACTAATCGAGGGCAGTCACATAATTTAAGTATATCGCTCTAAATATAAATTATCGTGATTTCTTAATTGTATTTTCTATTATACTAAACCTCTTATGTAAAATATGAAATTTCATTTCGTTACTTTGCGAGCATCAAATTCCGCTTAATATCGTTCATAATATCCATTTTAGTAATATACATATAAACTTCCAAAATTGATCCGGCTGGGTTATGAAAACCAGGAAATTAAATTTTGTACGTATGACCATAACGATAATATGAAATGCTAATCTTTTTTTGATTAGTAATTATCGTTATACGTATACTATATGTATATAACTAGCTGTAGCGATAGAGTTCTAAACCTAATGTCTTACCTAATGTCTTAATTTTAAATCTGGTGCTCTGAATGGTGTTGATCTGAACGACCTGAAACTGATCCAGTTATAATTAGTGTTTCAAGCTTATTAAATTTTTACGACTAGGCTAAGCCGTTAAATTTTTAATAGCTTAGCAGCTTAGCCAATAGGTGTAGCTCTGACCCAAAAAAATATAGGTCTGTAGTCTGTCAAAATTTCCCTATATAATTCATATCAAAAATTGTATTTTACAACTAAAATTTCATGCTGAAAACTTTTAGTTAGAGGTCGAAACTAATTGTTGTGTTATACAGTATCTTGTAATTTATTGTATCCTGACCGAGAATTTTATTTTCTTAACGTAAGGGTACTACAGATTTATAGATATTCAGCTAATGAAACTATCAGCCGGCTAAGCAGCTAAGCGGCTGACTGAGAGGCTGACTTGATCGGCTTTAGTATATTAGTTATAATAAATTAATAAATTACTATAACCGGGTTAGTTACGAGTCGTTCAGGTCAATCTCATTCGGAGCATTATCTAAATCTTCTCCTAAATCTTCTCCTGTAATACAGTAAGTAAATCCCGGTCCATTTTAATAACAGATCTGAATCACCATTTTTGATGTATATCTAATTTTTATTGTTAAAAATCCAAATTTGTACACTTATTTACTGTACAGTACATAATTGTTTTTGTAAGATCATCATGAAAGAATTCTTACGTATTAAAGTTTTAAACTTTGGACGGAGGTCAAACACGACAGATATGAATATGCTAATCTAGTAATTAGAATATGTAAAAAAAAAAATTAGCATTAGTGTTAGTGTTAGCTTTAGATATTTATATAATAGAAAAACCAATATACGTGATATATGTTCATTGGCCTATTCGTTATTGGTGTAATGTTGTATGTTTTATGTTGTTTCACGTTGGAAAAATTGAATGGTGGTAAATGATCTATTACCATTATATAAATACTATATGGGTTATCAAAATGGAATCAAATGTGGATTGTGATTGCATTATTTTGCTTAGAATGTTGATTTTTTACTTTATTTAATTAATTTAAATATATGTACCTAAAAATATGACAAAAATATATATATACGTACGTATGTATATATATTGGTTATATCGATATTAATACGTATCAAGTTCGTTCTTTCTATTCATAATTCTATTCATAATTCTATTCATAATTCTATTCATAATTCTGAGAGAATAAAAACTCCATCTGATTTTTTTTAAACAACTAATATACTTTGTTAATAAATAATAATAATAATAATAATAATAATGGAGCTAGCAATACCTCACTACATTTATCTCGCTTTATGTGTTATAGGTATATTGGTAAGCAGCTGAAAACTTTCTCAAATTTTAAAATCGGTGGTTTTTTATATAAATTTAATCTTCTTTTTACTGGCAAGTCTATAGATCTTAGTTTACGTGGCTATCAAAGTTAGCCGAACTATTTGTTGTATAATTTGTTGGATTTTAGGACTTCTAGTGCTTATTATAGTTGGAGTGGTATTATTTTCGTGAGTTGACTATTTAAAAACTTTTTAAACCTTTTTAATTTATTATTGGGAATAATTTGTTTAAATGGTCGTTTGAATTTATGCTGATTTTATTATTTTATTCATTTTTTATTCAGTGTTTATCATCCAGATGCAAAAAATATTCAAAATACAGTAAAGACAGTCAATGATACAATTACAACAAATTATACAAATTTGCAAGACTCAATACATTAAATTAAAGCTCGATCAGTGTATTACTACAGCTGCAAATAGTTTCACAATTTGATATTTAGATCACTAATACCAAATGGATTTTAGCATACATTTAGAACTAAAAATTGGACTTTAACCATATTTTCTGGGTTATCCTAATAGCTGAATACTCGGGACAAGATGACAAAGTTTTTTTAAATAATATATATGTATTAAATTTTAAAGTAACTTAACGAACCAACTTTTTATTTTAAAATATGATTCTACCTGAAATCATGATACTTATTTCAAGTCTCCAAAAAAAACCTGCATTGTCAATGCAAACTTTTTAAAAATTTAACATATTGTAGTAGTAAAGATTACAAAACTATTGGATAATTTTTTGAAATTTTACTTCTACGATGAATTAAAAATGTCGGTCACACGTTCGCCTGGTATAAGATCTTTCAATCAAACAAATATATATATGATCACAATCGAGAGATTTTCTCCTCTATTGCGGACATCTAGAACATCAAATAACATACAGCAGTGACTAGAAATATGTTTCGCGCGGGTAACGAAACTATCACACCCGTGTAAGGATGTTAATCAACTCAACCTGTTTGTATATTTATTGTTACAAAAACTAATTAATTAACATCCCTACATTCGCGATTCTCGCGAGATAAATCATTTTAATGACGAATTATTATCATGTGACTCTGATCGTAATATAAGAAATTTTCGATGTAAGAGAGACTAATTTAAAACAAGTTGAATTCAAACCAGTCTATGATACATTAAATTCTTTCAATATTAATAAACTTGTAAAAAATTTTTTAAATTTATTATGGATATGTTGCATAGTGTACTTCTTCAGAAGAATAATCGTTTCGATTTGATAGTAAGCTTAAATCAATAATATACAATAAAATTAATTAAAATCATTTGTATTGGATGTATTTGTAAAGATTAAATTATTAACGAAATACTCACAAGTAAGACATCAAGCCAATTAAAGGAATGCACAGAATAACTAATATCCATAACAGCTTTAAACCAATAGGTTTACTCGTATTACAAAGTTCAATAATTGCAAATATTTCAATTACAAACTAAAAGAAATTTCTAATAAATTGATTTTTATCGGCTTTTTTTTACAATATGCTATGAAAGATACATACAATTATTAATCCAAAAATAATAAGGCTATATTGAACTAAAGTTAATTCAGTCATATTTAATATATTTCGTCTGAAATTTGCAGAAAAAGTTTTCTAAATATATTAAAAATTAAACCCATATCATATCATATTTCAAATGTCAATTTTTTTAGCCACGGGCAAAGTTTAATATTTTGATGTAAACAACGAAAAAGCCCCAAAAGTTTAACCTAACAGGAGGAAATATTGCGTTTAACTATCTAACGAACGATATATTGAATAACACTTTACATATTTTGTTTGGTGTGCCACGTTGAAAGGATGAAATCAATTAGAAAATGTAAAAAATAAAAATGAATGTTATTCATTTTGGCATTTCGATTAACAATATACGTGTTGCAAGCCTATAATTTCAATAATATGTAGAATACCGTTATGGAAAACTTTATTGTCACCAAAATGATAAGAACGATTAAAATACGTACCCGAATAAGACTCGAGATATAATTATACATTTATTACATATAATACCCAGTTCTATACAAAGTACCCTGGGTACTAATCTAAAAACGAAAAGGTGCAATTTAGAGGTTTGAAACCGGTTTTATTTTTCATATGTTAAACCGATTAAGCACAAAACCGATTTGATTCCAAACGCATAGATTTAATGCGTGGCCAGCAATTAAAGGTAAAATTTTGATAACAACACGAGTAGGAGATAGCAAGGTTACGTGGCCAGCAATTAAAGGTAAAATTTTGATAATAACACGAGTAGGAGATAAAAAATTAAGTACTACGTACTGCTATTGTGAAAAATATATATGTATTTATTAACACGCGATTTCCAGGCTGTTAAGCTAATTGTAATGATCAAAGAAAATTTCTATTGATCATATTTTCGATATTCTTTAATTAAATCTACAGAATAATTTAGCAAATTATGTTTTCGACATCAGTAAATTATTTTGATTTACTGACTTCTGTTTAAAATTACCCCCATCCCTCAATTTTTCAAAATTATAGGACCAATACACATAATATTAAATAACCCCCTTCTATTTTTCAAAATCTATATAGGTAAATACATCAAACTAACCAATAAGATTGCAGTATTAATTTGTATCTAATATTATTGTGTATTTTCTTAATTCCCCATCCCCTTCTTACAAGTCATCTCATGTTATGTTAAACAGAGAATCAACTTGGTTTGGCCTAATTAATAATAAACACACCGGTTCAATTACGGTTGCTTATCCGTACATAAATTCTAAACATTTATCTAATAAAAAAAAACTTGCAATTTTTTTTTTAAAAAGTGTTGCACTAAATTTCATTTAGACTGTTTACGTTTTACAATCGTTATAAAAGCGTTTGATTATACATTTTCATATATTATTATACAGTCGACTCCGGATATAACGAACCTGTATATAACGAATTCTGGACATAGCAAAATCAAAAATTTAAAATTTCATAACAGTTCGGTATAGAAAACTCCATGGGTTCTTAAGAAATCATTTCCTTTTAGAAAGAGTTGTCTGTAATTTATTCCGTTCGCTGAATAAAATATTATTTTATAGCAATTTATAAACAAAATACTATAATAATTTTATTATATTTGTTAAAAAATATCATTATAGCTGTTTAATATGCTTGAAAATATAAGTCCCTGCGTGAAAGCTACATTTTACCATAATCGAAGTAAAACAAAGAAACCACATACTCTTTTGTGATTTGCTTCGATCACAGCAAATCACAAAATCCACACGTCCCTGCTACAAAGGTCACATCTTGCAAAACGCAATAAATTACAAAATTAGTTATAATGTAAAAATCAATGCTGTTTTTAAAAAAAAATTGCCAATAACTCAAGGTTTTGCTTATGAAATTGCCTTTCATATTTTAAAAAAACTAGATATAGTCAATACTGTCTAATTACATACTGTTTAATTGTACAGTATATACTTTTTAAATACATAAAAAATTTGGTTTAATTTTTAATTCTTATAAATTAAATGCATATACTGTTTATATACATAAAAAAGTCTAATGGATGACATGCAATTAGACAGTATCAACTGTATCTTAAATTATTATATGTATTTGAAGTTTATAAACATAAAATAGATAATATGTATTTGAAGTTTATAAACATAAAATAGATAATTTCTATTTAAAATTTTGCTTATGAAACCACTCTTTGGGTTCTAACAAAAAAAAAAAAAAATCGTGAAATTTTAGTATAAATTCTAATCGTAACTTTGATTTAAATTTTTTTTTCTTTAAATTTTACATTATATATGTTGTAAGTGGGAATGGAACCATAATAGGGTTCGGAATCCACTTAGAATAATTATACTAAAAATCCTAACCTTAACCTATATACGACATATATATTGATCTACAAATTATACCGTATACACTGATATAAATTAAGAAATTTCTACTAAATAAATATCGTTTTTTAAATCTCAACTTTTTGAATGTTATATATAAAGAAAAAAAAAAAGTATATTAAGTGTGATTGATAATCAGAGTATAAATTCTGCAATTTGTCACAAGTGATTTATCAAATCATAACAAATTGTAGGCCATATTACAAGCTTCATGAATTATGAAAGTGATTATGAAAGTGATGGTTTAATAATTATAGCATTGAAAATTTTAAAAACAAATTTTCTTTTACAACGAAATGTGATTTAATTATGATTACGTTTTGCCAAATACTTTTAGTTGGTATGTATATGTTGGTTATCTTTTTTTTTCAATTAATTATTAAATAAAGTTCATATGATAATGTATGATTATCTACATTATAAATCAAAATTTTCATTCTTTAACTATCATATTTTTACATTATCAATATTATTAATATTCAATAATTATATATTTCAAAGTTCATAATAAAAGTAAAATAAATGGTAGGTATAATTCATCTTCAAATAATATTATTTTCCTTCGAGCACTGTTGTCCAATCCCATTTTTTCCATTTTTTCATAAATTCTGATACACGGGTACTATTATCACGTGGATTTTGCTTTTTAGGACGTCTCCAAACATCTGGTGGTAAATCACACACACCAGCAACTATTTCCTATATTTTGAAATATCATGTCAATGTAATTTGCAATTTAAAACTCATGTTAGTACAATAATAAAGGTGAAAAATCAAACCTTGCCAAACCATCGGGGAAATGATTTTTCCTTTTCAATAACATGACCAAACCCTTTATCCAAACCAAACCAAACGTGAAAATATGGTAATTCCTTAACCATTGAACGTCTGAATCCAGTTTTAGACGTGTCTACTAGTTTTTTATTTTGTGACCATTCGCCACCGCTTTCCATTATACCTTCCTATTTTAAGAACATAGAATAATGAAATCAATATATCAAAAATAAATTAACATAATTTTATCAAACCTTAAAATATGCGGGTGCATCTTGGGCCAAGTCCCAAGGCATCGGTATACATTCAATAACTGTATGATTTTGATATTTCAAATTTACAACCGTCTCCATGAAAATTACTCCTTGATCTTCCTCAGCAAACATTTGCATTAAACATTTCATAAAATTCTAAATAAAATAAATGAAATAATATAAATAAATAAATAAAATATAGTAATACTTATGACAATTTTGAGATTTAAAATCGACTTACCCGTATTTCATCCCATGCGTCATCATCGCATTCTAGTGTAGATGAACAATGCTGAACAGGTACAATCAAACAATGCCCTTTAGCCACTTCTACTACGGTTGGTAAAGCAAGATATACCCTGTATCCCATCGAAACCACCGCTACTTTTGGTGGTGCGTCATTGTGACAATAAATACAGTTGTCCAGAGCTTGCTTTGATTTTTTAAAATCTAAAAATTGTGATCAAATGTTTTATAAGATGAAAAAATTCGAAAAAAAATAAAAAGAATCAACCATAAATCTATCGTTACCTTCAATAGCAAAATGTCGTTTTTGTTCCGCGGATTTTTGTGAAATTTTGGCTATGTTATCAGCATTCTCGTCCATATATTCTAAATCATCCTATATACATATATAAATATATATATATTTATTTATTTAGGAAATTATACCATTAGAATTTCAAAAAAATTCATAAAACTTACTTCAAATTTTGAATCTCCTACTATCCTTCCAGCTATCTGTGAATCCATTGATTTATCCGATCCTAGTCGTTCTTGACGTACTAAATCACTCAACGTCAACTCGTCGTCATTACCGAAATATCGTATTCGTTGACCGGTTGCGTCATGTGTTTCTACCTTTTGTAACATGTAAAATTATTAAGACCAGTAATAAAAAATGTCACGGCTGATACTGAGAATTTAAAAATTTTTTGAGGGTTATATTTTATTATTATTATTTTTTCTTATATTTAGGACAGGATTTAGGACTAGAGTTACTAACAAAAGGACTAATAAAAGAGTATGCGTAGATTTTAATAGGTTTGGCAGGGTTAATAGAGGTCGATCTTAGTATCAGCCGCGACAATAAATACCGTCTCCAAAGCTAAAACTATTGTATACCTTTTCTTTTTTATGACGAGAAGATCCCGCATGATGAGAAAATTTTGATGCAGAGCCACTAAGATCGTAAGGCCTTCCTCGACTATCCAATAATGGTAAAACCTCAACACGAGTTTCTGATTCCACACCACTAGAACTATTCTCAACCGCTAGTCTAGCATTCTCATATTGTTTTTCCAATTCACTGGCATTGGGCAAATTCATTATTTTAGCACGTAAAGCTTTTGCTTGTAGTTTATTTAATTCGTCAGAAGACAATTTGGGTGTGTTTAAAGAAGGTGGAGGTATTGAAGGTATATATGAAGTTGTAAAGTTCGTAGTAGATACAGAAGAAGTTTGATCTGTAATATTTGTCGGAGATGGTGAACGAGGACGTTTAAGTGGTGATGATTTATTGGCATCAGATGATGATTCGTATATTCCATCATTTTGTGGCTTCACAAATAACGATCTGTTTGAAGCATTTCGGAAATCGGTAAGCATCTTCTGAGGTATACGCTCGAAATCTTGATTAGAATCTATTGCATGCTTTACATTAGAAAAGGTTATGCAGAATCAGTATTTGACAAAAGACCTTTAACAAAAATTCACATATTTTTTACCGATTGTAGTGAGTCTTGTGAAGAAACCGGAATTGGAGGTAGATCGATCTTCTTTTCAACCCAAATAGCATTGTCGAGATCGAACTTTTCAGTTCCGGAATCAGTACTACTACCACCACTCTGCTCCTCACGTTTCTTACTATGTTTCTTATGCTTTCGGTCTTTTTTATGCTTCTTTGAAGTTTTATCCTTTTTAGATTTCTTAACTCGTTTAGTTTCTGATTCCATGATTCTTAGAAATCGTTACGTATATACGACCAACTCTCGATATCAATATAAGAAAAAATAATAATAATAAAATATAACCCTCAAAAAATTTTTAAATTCTCAGT